AGTAAAAACACAGTAAAATATACTATGACCGTCTCTGTATGTGTGAATGTGGCCATATTCTTAACGTTTTATTCCCGAGGGTCGTGAACCTCCTAAAACTGATCTTAATATATATAAGCACTAAGTCTACAAGACTTCAAAAAGTCACTTTTTATATATTTTGAATCACCAGAGTTATTCTCTCCGCAGAAGTGAATTGAGTACAATCTCCAATCCTCTTGCTGTCGGACCATCAGATAAGAGGGTTGAGAGGCTGCTGAGGAACATCAACCTGCGGCCAACCATGTCACCAGGTTTAAATACATCTGCAGCATCTTCTGTTTTTCTGTCCAAGGCTGGTAAGGCTGGTCTGTTAGTATTTGACACCACAACTAATATCCTGTACAAGATTGATCAAAAAGCACATTGAAAAGATATTGCACCAATGGTTTCTATTTCTTTCACAGTGGTGGATGAGGTTTGGAAGCAGCAGACGCTGCTGCAACTGCTGCAGATAGTGGAGTTACCCATGCTGGACTGCATTCTCACCTCCAGTGTTGAGCCTCAGGCCTGCAGAGCTCTTCTGACCACCCAGGACCTGGTTATCTCCAACACATGCCTGGAGAGAGAGCTGCCCGACGCCCTGAACCTGCCCCAGTTAGTGCTCTGATTAATACTTTTTTTGCACACTAGAATGAAATAATGCTCTGGTTGTCCACATATTTTTTCTCCCGGGACAGTAAAATTGTATTTTGCTCTGTTTCGTCCTTTTATCTCAGGTTGGATGGGTGGCTGTCGGCTGCAGCAGACTGTTTGGAGCTCTTCCCCGACCAGCTGATTGTGTTTGCAGGGGAGCAGCTCCGCCAAGGCAGCGATGGAACTGCAGAGGATGGAAATGCAGAGCAGATGTCAACCCAGAAGAGACTGCTCTTTGACACCATTGCCAAGTACTACAGTGGACAGGAAAAAGCTCCACTTCTCTCAGGACGCTACCTGGATATACATGTTGCAATTCTGAATCTCCTGGGTGAGAGTTGAAATGTTTAATGGTGGTTTTTATGATTTATGTGTAGATTGGTGAACCAATTTCTGACTTGATTTCAAATGATGAGTGATTGCACATATGAAGCATTACTCTTCATTCTCTTCGTGTGAGAATCCTGTCTGTTTGCTCCGTCTCATGACCATGTCTTCTTTCTTTCTAGATGGGGGGAAGGTGCAGGATTCCATCAAAGCATCTCAGTTGTGTTTGCGACTTCTGGAGAGAAGTGTGAGAGATGAGCTGCGGAGATTACTGGCCTTCATGGCCACGGCAGCTCACCCAGATGCCTGTCGTCTACAGAAACAAGTAGGACACTCGTCTCCTTCTAAATTTCACCATCAGCTCCAGCTTTGTTGCACCAATTATAGAATATTAAAAAAGACAATAAATGATTAAGCACATAACTTATTTTTAGATTTGTTCACAGCTCTTTTTAGTAGTGTTATTACCACGATGGGGAGGCAGTTAATATGTCGTTGTCTAACAATCACTGGTATTCTGTTATGTTTCCTTTCAGACTGATAACAGGGCCTTGGTATGCCGCACTTTTCAGAGAGCAGTTGTCCAGAATCACGAACTGACTCGATCCCAGAGTGAAACCCTGGTTCTGTTTCTCATGGACAGTCACACTGAGCTCTTCAAGGTGCACTTCTCTTCTCTCAGTCTTGTTTGTGAACATTGATAGGTAGAGAAGTTAAACAAAAGTAAAATTAAATATAAATAAATATATAGAAATACATTTTTCAGAATGACATAAAACAGTACTTCACTTTATGTTGATCTCTTAATGTATGTAGACTGTAAACATACAGACACAAACGGTGAAAGTTTTTATAAGTGCTTTAGGTTCAGACGACATTTTGGCTCATTTCTATTAACAGCTATCTGCTTATGTAAATATGCAAATAAATTAAACCGACGTTACCAGATGCATTTCAGTCAATATGTTCCGCCTCATGTGTTTGTTAACCTGCGAGCAACCAAAGCCTGCTCTTACAAACCAAAAGGCTTCCATCACCAATTCCTTTTTCTTCTTTTTTCTCTTTTGTCCTCTAATAATTACAGACCCCTACATCCCTTATTGAAGCTGTGCGGAGAACACTGAGGACTATGCAGCTGGGGAAAGACCCTGATTCAATTGCCAGTAAGTCAAACACGACTGTGACTAAATATGCACAACTTACACCACCACAAAAAACTTGTGTATATAAAACCCTTCAGAACTTTTATGTGTTACTCTCCATGAAACACGACACTATCCTTTGAGATAATGTTTGAAGTCTCTAATCACACTTAGTGACACATACAGTTAATTATTTATTGATTATTTTTTCATCAAGGCCTTCTCCTATGTGCTTTGCAGCATTCACCTTCTGCCAGCAGGTGACACCGCAGGAGTACGAGGACCAGCGTGAGGCTACCACCCTGGAGAGCCTCAAGCAGCTTCTATGTGATATTTCCTCAAGTGAGAGCATGTCTGCCAAGGACAAGAGGAGGCTACTCAAAGAGTTCGAAAAGCACCACCCTGTGGTTTTCCTCCAACATTTCTCCGGCACCTTCTGAAACGTAAAGCTGGAGGGTTTGATTGTCAAGGTGCACTTGACAAAGCCAGTGTGCGATGGTACAGCTCTTACACGGAGGAATGATACAATTGTAGCTAGGTCTGTTAAAACATGCTGGCCTTATAATACTGGATGCTTTAAAAACTGCCATACTTTTAAATCTAGTGTGTATAGATTGATTGATGCCTTATGTAAATGTTTCCGCAACATAGATGTGTGGCTGCAGCCTCCCTAATTTCCTTTAAATCACAGTGAGCGGCAATAGTTGAGGCTTTATTTGCAGCTACGCTTCAAGTCTCACAATGGGTGTTTTGGTTTTTTGAGCAATACAGAAACTGTAGTGGAGACACAAGGGTCTGGGGGTTAGCACTTTTGCCTCACACAGCAAGAAGGTTCCCGGTTTGAATCCAAGCTTTGCCAGGCACCTTTCTGTGAGGAGTTTGCATGTTTTCCCCATGACTGTGTGGGATTTCTGTGGGTATTCCAGCTTCCTCCCCCAGTCCAACAACGTGCAGACATGGGGACTAGTTGAGTACATCAGTAATACTAATTTTAGGTTGTAGAAATTCAAGATTTTTAAAGAGCGAATTTGTCATAAGCACCGTGGATTCTTCTGAAATGACCATGAAATATAATTAAGTTATGAAACATAACAAAAGGGATCACTGGAATAAGTTTTATCAGCCATTTAGCCGGCTGGGAAACAGCTAATGTCCTAACTTCATTGTGCAAGTTAGGAAAAGCGATTGTGCACTTTGATCAGGAAGTAATATTCATACATATCAAGTGAAGAATATCATAAAGCAGCCATTTTGTTTTGGTTTTGAAGTTTTACTGTAGCATGCTATTGTGCATTTGGAAAAAACACTAATCTAGCTGAAGTTTAACACAGGATGTAAATTGTTTTTGTTAGAGGTGAATCACAATGTTTCCTTTCTGTGAAAATGAATATGAAATGTGTGAGTGTCAAGCTAACAGTAGCTCAGGTTAATATGCAGTATAATATTTGAATGGGGATTTTAGTGACAGTAACTCGGTTGGATTTGTTTTGATGAAGTCTTGTTCATAAAAACAAAAGTTGCTCTCAAATCTTCAGTCAGCATCTTTTGTTCTGTGTGCCAACACTAAAATCATGTTAGAATGCACTTTAAAATGCTGAAACATGCTTTATTTTCTGTTCGAATAAAATGTGTAATTAATCTCAAATAAAAATGTTTCCATTCAATTATTTAGTAAATCAATATCCTCCTTCTCAGATTCTGTTTCCACTGCAAATGGTTTGGTCACACTTCACACCTGTACTTTAAAATCTATATGTCTGCTGGTTATTCCCAGATCTCAGCTGCTGACTAAGGGTGCCCAGGCTTTCGGCGTTAGAGCCCTGAAACTGGAACAGTTGACTTATTGAGATTTTTTAAATCTCTTCCTAAAATATTTTCTACCACAGAGCTTCTATGAATGTCTAATTGAACTGACTTTTGATTTGACAGCAGTCCTTTTAATCTCCAATTTTTCTTTTTGTGAAGCACTTTTTTGAAACATATAAAAATTATTATTATATTATAATGATGGTGCACAGTATGTAGCTATAGGGTCACGAATTACCTCATAGAAGTATAAATATGAGGCTTTAACAGGCTTGGGCAATACACAACTGTAGCCGATGCTAAAGTTTGGCCACCACCGGGCAAAATAAATATTTTTAGATATAGATATGAGATATTAAAAAAGGAAATTACAAACAGTAAAATGAGTTAAATCCTCTTTATATACAGTCTATGGTTAAATCTGACATCGATAGTTGATGACTCCATTGTAATGATATGACATGAAGATATAAATACACATCCTTATAATACAAGTGAAAGAGTAACAATCGTAAATAATTGATATTACACATGAAGAATTTTGCACTTTATTGACGCGCACTGGAAAATAAAAGTCAGATGACGTCGATGCACCTGACGCCATCAAAAAAAACAAACAAACCCGGAAGTCTGGTTGTTAGCTCCTCAGCGCGCTAAGCTAAGTCCTGTCGTATGCGGCTGGAAGACATGGGGTCTGTGGTTATCTGTCTGTACTGACAGCGCTACTGCCGAGAGGCCACAGGTTTCAAGAAAACAACCCGAGAGACATTTTCATACGAAGGCAAGTGGCCGGAGGGGGTGGGGGGTCGGGATATTGTTGTTGATGACAATAACGCAACTGTCTTACTTGCGCGTTGTGGGCTAGTTAGCTTGGCTACGTGACCACCGTGATCTACTCGTGTGAAAGAGCCTTTAGCTGTTAACCACGGCGATGTCAGCTTCCTGGGCCGCACGGGAGAGATGGGGGTTTGGAGAGATTGCCCCTGAACCACGGTGTCACAGCGCTGCGACAGTTCTGTCTTTTGATGTGTGCGTATACGGGCTCAACAGGACGGCTAACGTGGCTAACGTGGCTAACGTCGAGGTTTTTTCTTGTCAACCGGACGTGACAGTCTGTCGTAGCGACACAATACAAGTTTAAAAACGCGCCTGCACCAAGCTGAGATGTGGTTTAAGTGACCTGTCAAAACACAACACAGTCCTGGCACCGATACTCTGCCTGCTATCCTGGCGGCTAACGTGTTAGCCACTGTGCTAGGCTAAGGTAGGCTGTGTGGTGAGATGACTAACTGTATTAGTTGGTTTGTTAATGTTTAGTCAATTGTAAGACAACGATACAATGATTTATTAAAAAACTTGAAACTGCATTAACTCTGAATTTACTTTGCATACACTTCACACCTGCATCCTCTACTGTACATAGCATTGAATGTTTTTACATTCGCTCACATTCACTTTCTTACTTTCTCTAAATAATAGTAATACACTTAATTTACGTAGCAGCTTTCAAAACGCAGTTACGAGGTGCTTCACAAGTTAAGAATGACAAAATGCAAACAATAAGAAACAAATATCAATAATGCATAAGTGTTACTGATGTGTAAAGAATAAAATGAGATGAAACAAAACATTAGAAAATGATTAAAATAGAAAATAAGATCAGAACTAGGAGAAAGTGCACCTATAAAAATGTGTCTTTAAAAGAGGAGAGGGAGTTTGCCAGAAGGATCTGCTTGTTGAGGACCTCTGGTCCTCAGCTGGGAATGTGGCGAGGCGAGTAGGGTCTTGGGTTACGACCGGGCAGATATGGCGTTAAAAGATCCGAAATGTACTTTGGTGCAAGTCCAGAACTGTACTGGACTATTTTTTCCCATCAGCATGCTAGGGGAAGTATTCTGTATAAAGAAAATACAAAATTTAATTGAGAAAGACAAAACTTAAAACCCAGAACCAAACATATTGTGCATAGGTAAAAGAGTGTATGAATAAGCTGTTGCCATTATTTGGCCATGTTTCTGTCTGTCATGTTCTTTTGTGTGACTTCCTGTTCCCTAAAATTTTATCAAGTAGCCCTGTAAGATTTTGAAAGAGATACTTCACTGTGGTGTGCATGAGTTTGCTCTGAATCATTTTTTCGGGGGACAGATTGTCCTATTATGGTGCATATTCTCCTCAGCTCAAGCTGGATGCTGACTGGAGCTTTGATGCGCAAATTTTAAAGCAAGTTCCTTGGATTGCATGTCGAATGGATTGTTTTGCTTATGTTAGGCTATTAAAAAGAGTTCAGCTATAGCTGCCTCTGTCAGTGACTGCAAAAACTGGTTTACAACTCTTTCGATAAAAACTGTATTTTTCTCTCCCTCTCTCCTCAGCTGCCAGGTCAGGCCTCAACATGGAATCTATGCTTAACAAGCTTAAAAGCACTGTTACTAAGGTAACAGCAGATGTCACCAGCGCTGTCATGGGCAACCCGGTGACACGAGAGTTTGAGGTTGGACGACATATTGCCAGCGGTGGGCCTGGAATGTGTTGGAGAATCTACAATGGCACCAAGAAGTCCACCAAACAGGTGAGTGTTAATATCTGCACCTTGATCAGATCAACTCCAACTCAATCCTGCTATTGATACGCTGGGGCCCATATATTTCAGAGCCGCTCAAACAGAGAAGTCTAGAAATGCTGCTGGCCCTGTTTTAATTTGAAAACTCTATAGCTGCATTTTAGTAAAAACGGCCGAAATTGAGATGTTTGGAAACCATGATGTAGATACTCCCAGCTGTTTGCTGATTGAGTCATTTTCCGTCATGACGCAACCTTCCCTGATTTGTCAGGTTCCTATCACATGACCCTGTTTTGGAGGAAACTACCAGCATTTGCCTCGGGTACCAGTGTAGAACGTAATACAGTTATTCAATTACAGGCTGGGCCGAGCCGGTTTTCTTTGCTAAAAGCTGTTTCGCAGTTACAATGATGCAAGTGCTCACATGTGTAGGAGACAAGTTATTTTTCAAACAACAACTTTCCATACCAGAAATAACTGTGGTACTTGTTTCTTCTCCTTATTGTTTGTCTTTGACCATAAAGGAAGTGGCAGTGTTTGTGTTCGATAAGAAGGTGGTTGATAAGTATCAGAAATTTGAGAAGGACCAAATCGTTGATTCACTGAAAAGAGGAGTGCAACAGCTGACCAGGCTGCGTCATCCCCGTCTCCTGACTGTGCAGCATCCTCTGGAGGAGTCACGGTGAATAACACACTCACACAAACACATGTATCAAGGATGAACTGAATGAGTCACAAGTCAAAGAGGGCCTTGACATTTATGACAAACAAAAATTGGAGCGACCACATTTGTCTGCTTCTGTGTGATTTAGTGTGTGAACAGATGCTTGTCATGACCTAAACAGTCAATAGACTAGTTCCTTTATAATGTTTATCCCCTGACAACAAAATAAGGTAGATATATTCCTGTGCTTGCTTTTTCTGCCACTGTCTTTCTTTAAGTTTCGCGTCAGCCCTTAACGGTTCTTGCCTTTGGCTGTTTTGTTAATTTTTTCTACATGTTCAATACATCAACCTTCAAAGTGATGTTATTTCTTGTGTGTGGCCATCAGGGACTGCCTGGCGTTCTGTACAGAGCCGGTGTTTGCAAGTCTGTCCAATGTGCTGGGCCACTGGGACAACCTGCCGAGCCCTGTGCCCAACGACATCAAGGAGTACAAGCTCTATGATGTAGAGACCAAGTATGGCTTGCTACAGGTGAGAGTGCTCAGAGGTTAACATGTAATCTATAATTATAATGTTACACCATGGGTCCTTACTTTGTTGTGACATGGGTGTGGGTTTATCATTTCTGTTGGGCTCTGATCTTTATCCATGTGAGTGTAGAACCAAACAATGTGCTTGTACTTTATCTATCATACCCTGACATTTTAATGTATCTGTCTCTTCAGATCTCAGAGGGTATGTCCTTCCTCCACAGTGGGGTGAAAATGGTTCATGGCAACTTGTGTCCAGAGAACATAATCCTCAACAAGAGTGGAGCCTGGAAAATCATGGGCTTTGACTTCAGCATCTCCTCGACAAACCCCTCAGATGCTGAGGTATGCTGAGGATTTCTGTATCTTAGTATGAGGGCCTACACCCAAGCTTACTGCCTGCAAGAAGCTCCACCAAATCCATGTCTCATAGTGTTGTAACATCTTTACGTTCTCATATCCTCTCTTCCCTTTCAGCCCAAGTACACATGTAAAGAGTGGGAGCCCATCCTTCCTCCACTCTGCCTCCCCAACCCTGAGTACCTGGCCCCTGAGTACATCCTGTCTGTCAGCTGTGACTCTGCCTCCGACATGTACTCACTGGGTGTGGTCATGCATGCCATCTTCAATGAGGGCAAGCCCGTTTTCCAGGTCAACAAGCATGACATTTTCAAGAGCTTCAGCCGACAGCTTGACCAGGTAAAGTAGACGTGTGCGGAGTGTGAAGCTGTGACAACGGATCATCAATTTTCACAACATTATGAGAGTTGCGCTCTGTAAGCACAAAAATGAAAACAAAACGTAACTAGACACTGTGCTAATGTGTGTTTTACTGTTCTTTTCAATCATTTTTTCATTGTAGCTGAGCAGCATGAGTCCAGCACTGCTAAACAAGATCCCAGAGGAGGTGCGGGAGCACGTCAAAATGCTGCTCAGTGTCACGCCCAATGTCCGGCCTGATGCTGACCAGTTGACCAAGGTTTGTAATATAATGTACAGTCACAAATCACATAGTATATTGTTTAAACTTGTGTTGGAACACGCTTCTTATTTTTTCCACATTTTCTGGATGTCAACTTTTCAGATTCCATTTTTTGACGACGTGGGTGCTGTCACTCTTCAGTATTTTGACTCCCTTTTCCAAAGGGACAACCTACAGAAGTCTCAGTTCTATAAAGGCCTCCCCAAAGTCCTTCCCAAACTGCCCAAGGTACATGCTTTTATATTTTCCAAAAGGAAATGTATAGCATATTGGGTGGAAAGGCTTTCCAATGCCCTCCAATGAAAACGCAGAATTTCAGTCTGAAGTCGTTGCTTCTTTAACCTTTTGCAGAGAGTGGTGGTGTATCGAATCTTGCCATCATTGACCTCTGAGTTCATCAACCCCGACATGGTTCCCTTCGTGCTGCCCAATGTGCTGCTGATCGCAGAGGAGTGCACAAAAGAGGAGTACATTCGTCTCATCCTGCCTGACCTCACACCTGTTTTCAAACAGCAAGAGCCTATTCAGGTACAAAGGCATAAAACACTTACATGAGGCTACAAACCCCAACTGGTTGCTATAGACACTGTACAGTTTAAATAAAGCTTTATGAGATTATATGTTCTAATATTGTTTCTGTTTTAAAATCACTGTAAACAGTCTCTGGCAGTTGTTTGTTTGAGGTTGTGAAAGTGAGATTGAGTGAGTGAAGAACGTTCTCTGTTTGGGCTCAGTCTATAACTTCATCAAGACTTGTCTCTCTGTATTTTTCTTTCCATGCCTCCTTAGGCTAGTAACATGGTGAGTGGTCTCTGTTGTGAATATATTCCAGTAACATCAGCTAGTGTATTTGTTGTGTTGTCGATGTTGTAGCACTAAAAAAGCCCTATTAAAGCCACTGTAATCCCAGACTCTACCTACGTCCACTTAACCACCATACTTATGAGTAGAAGGTATGACAGTGTCCTCTTGCTTTTGACTGTTCCTAACTGTCCCTGTGCTTTGCAGATCCTGCTGATCTTCCTGCAGAAGATGGACCTGCTGCTGACCAAAACACCGCCAGAAGAAATCAAGAACAGCGTGTTGCCTATGGTCTACAGAGCTCTTGGAGCCCCGTCTGTACAGATCCAGGTACAGGGCCGGAATTTAGTATTGAAATCAGTATTAACTCAATAAAGCACAAACAAGAAAGGTGATTCTTTTTTTGTCACCTGCTGATACCCTTTGTCTCTTTTAGTGTTAATCTTGAGAGAACAGTGAGGATAGATGCTGTCCTAAGCATCATAAAAATGTCATATTTCATGTCTTATCTGCACCCGAGCAGGAGCTGTGTCTGAACATCATCCCCACATTTGCCAACCTGATTGACTACCCGTCCATGAAGAACTCCCTCATTCCTCGGATCAAAACAGCCTGCCTGCAGACCTCCTCACTAGCTGTGAGTCTTGATTAGATATTTTCCTCCTCTCAATATATACTGTATGTATTTTAACTTTGTCTTAATTTGTATTTTCCCTTGTTACTGTACAGGTACGAGTGAACTCTCTGGTGTGTCTAGGGAAGATCTTGGAGTATCTAGACAAGTGGTTTGTCATTGATGAGATCCTGCCCTTCTTACAACAGATTCCCTCCAGAGAACCAGCAGTGCTCATGGGCATCCTAGGTAAAGAGCATGAACTCTCCCCGTTCCACTTTCAACTCATGTGCTTGAAAGAATTGAGCAACCTCTTCCTTTTCTTGATTATTGGTTATTTAAATTACTTTCTCCTGGTTTTAGGAATTTATAAATGCACATTCAGCCACAAGAAGCTGGGCATTCCAAAAGAGCACCTCGCTACCAAGAGCCTGCCCCACCTCGTCTCTCTTAGTATAGACAACAACCTCAATCTGAATCAGGTACTATACAGCATTAACATTTTAAATTCAAATGTAATTTTCAAAGAATCCAGTACACTCTTAAGCTGCTTTCACACATGCACTGAGCTCCAGAGACCCACTTGACCTTCTCTGGAAAGGCTGTATGTGTGACTGCAAATATCCGTGTGAGAGCCTCCAGACTTTCTGCGCAGTTTCTCCAGCTAAAAATCTGCAGAATATCCGAATGAGCCCATGTGAGAACACAACAGGAGATCCACTGCAGGATTCACAGCAAGCGAGCGTCACCTTGGTGATATTTTTAACATGTGAAAGCTTCAAAAATGAAAAAGCAGTTCCAGAGACATAGAAGACACCAACAAAGATGTCAAGAGAGCTTTTGGCCGACGCCTGTGTCTGAAGTGATCCCCATAAAAGAATTAATACATTTCGTCCAGCCTCTGCCTGCTGCACCACCACGCTCCGGAGAAATCGTGAAAAGGGCTCTTCCAGTAAAAGCCTATGTAGTCGTGGCATTTACCTGCAAATCTGAAAGAGACGCATCATATTATCTTAATTTGTAATTTGTATCATCTGCACAGTTCATTTTTATGCAAGTTGCATCTTATTTGATCCACTCAGTTTAACTCGTTTATGGCGGTTATACGCGAAATGCTGAGTCGCATGGAGACTGAACACAAGACCAAGTTGGAGCAGCTGCACATCATGCAGGAGCAGCAGAGGTGTGTGTGTGCATTCATTTATATCACGCTACACTGATTAATTCACTTTGATTATTAATCAAATAGTCATAAAAAATGTTTAGATAAATTTGCTAAGACATCTAAGGTAATTGGATCTCGAATTGAAAGCATCAAGTTCCCTCGGTTTTCTGATTTCTGTTGTCTCTTCCAACAGGAGTCTAAACATTTCAAACCCAGGGAACCAATCAGAGGAGACAAAGAGTCCACCAAGCTCCAGCAACCAGGTGAGAGGCCGATTACATGTTCAAAGATCAGAGAACATGAATATACCGACTGACGTTTGCAAATTTCATGTTTTTGAATATCTGTAATGCGATGATTCAAATGTTTTCTTTCAGATTGATGTTATCTTTGGCAGCACAGGGGTTAATGGAAAAGAGAATGGGTCTGCACCAGCTGCAGCAGCCTCACAGCCTAATAGGGTATGGAAATAATTCCACACCTCATTTATACAAAATGTCCCCTTTGCTTTCCTGTTATTTCATAGTCTCTTTCCCCTTGAACCCCCTCTAGATGTCTCTGACTCTTGAGGAGAAACAGCGATTGGCTAAGGAGCAGGAACAAGCAGCCAAACTGAGGAACCAGCAGCCGTTGGCACCACAGACTATCAAACCAGCCGCCACCACCAACTCACAGGTACAAACAGCACGCTTCAAACACACCATCAAGCTCCAACACTGCTGATTTGTGAAGATCAATCTCACCTTATTTAATGTTGCATTGCAGACTAAGGATCTGACCAGCAGCCTTCTCAACAACATGACGTCGCTAAACAGCCTGTCTTTGGCCAACACAGCACGACCAGCCCCAGTGCAGGGCAACACCATGTCTGCCTTTCCCTCCTCCAGCCCCATGGTTGGCTCCATGGGCACCCCAGTCTCTAATGGCTTCAATGCACCTATGGGCTTCCAGACAGGGGGCATGGGGATGGGCATTCGTCCCACGGGCCCTGGCCTCTATGGCGGCATGGCCACCACCACCAGCACCCCAAACTTCGGCGCTCTCACACAGAATCATACATCCATTGGGCAGACAAACAAAGCCCCCGACATGTCAGCCTTGGACAGTCTTTTTACACCCAGCAAACCCAAAGTCAGCCTCAACCAAATGGGTCCCATAGTCGCACCTGGAACCAATACACCCTGGCTCAATCAGTTCGGTTCAGCCCAGAACGCTCAATCTCAGATGCAGGGTGTCCCAGTAGGTTCTGGAGGGGTGCCCACTGGGTTTGGGATGCAGGCAAACCCTTTTTTCAGCCCGCAGAACTTTTCTCAATCTGCTGCTGCCCCTAATATGAACCAAAGTGGAGTTAAACATTGTGCATCTGTCAATAATGACCTGAAAGACTTATTCGGGTGAATATATGTGAAAAGATGGCAGGTGAAGTATCTTATTTTAATAACTATGGACGGAACAGCCTTGAATTCTCACAGAAACAGACTGATTGAATGTGAAGCTTTGAAATCCCTTCAAGGATGTTGCTGTCTGTATTTTTAAATTCGACCTGGTTTCAAATTCTGAATCTTGCTCACATTCTGCTGGCGAATTAACCTGCACCTGAATTCAATATCTACCTGACCAGAAGGACTAAAAGGTTATGGTGGGAACTACTTCTTCTATACTGTGTTCTTTAAATGCTTGGGTTTTCTTACTGTTTTGTACTCAACATTCTTGGGAATCCAAATGGCAATGGGTTGAGATGAATCCCAACTCAATTTATTCAGGAAGGTGTTAGTGTGCATATCATGAATGAGTGTTTTTCTCCTCTCGAAACAGCTGCAGAATTAGAATCACCCCCAAGGTGGCGCACATCTGCTCACTTTCAGGCTACTGTACCTTTATCGTGTCTCCAGGCTTTTTTAGGATTCGCAGCATGTCGAAACTGATCAGACTGTCGTCTTGAAAAACAAGTATACCGCATACACCTAAATGAGCCCAGTGGGAGATGGCTTCAAGTGTAGCACTGCAGTTACTGATCTGCAGCCAGTAAGCTCCTCTGAAGAGACGGAGACGAGAGCAACCCAAATGCAGTCCGTCTCCATGGCAACTGTTTCTCTGCAGCACCTTCATTTAGAGAGCACAGGTTGGATTTATGGTCCAGGCTGCTCTTTTTTCCCCCATCACTTAATTAGATATCTAAAAAAGGGAAAGATTAGTTTTGTCAGGTCAGTGTTTGTTTAAAACCACTTCACGTCCTTTTGTTAAAGCAACACTGTGCAACTTTTTTACTTTAAAACAGCAGCTTCAGAATCAGTTTGATGGTTGAAAAACTTGGAATAAGGAGAATGTTAACTTTTATTCCCTCTCCTCACTCTGAGCATTTGTTCTTGCTCTATGTAAGTTTGGTGAGTGGGTACGATCTCCTGTGAGACGCGATTGCATCATGTTTGACATCACAAACATCCAAGACGGAGGCGCTCTCTCCCCGCGCTGTCTCGCCAAACTAGCATGTTCACCTGGGTGACATATTTACAGCTTGTCAGAATTGGGTCCTGCTAGTTCAAGAGTAATGCTGAACTGTAGATCAGTTAAATAGACCTCGGAGTCATTAAAAACCTGCGTTTCTCTCCAATATTCAGTGAGGAAACTTTGAAAATATGAAGAATTCTAAATAGCTTGTATTTGTTACAGTGGCAGCTCTTCTGGTTCAGGAAGCTGGGGATCATGGGTATTATCCACCATTCAACAAGAAATTTATGTTTTTTTTGTTTTTTTTTTACTTTATGAAAAAACCTATTAATCTCTTGAATTTGGAGCCCAGCAGAATGAATCACCACATGTGGCTGCAGGGGGCGCTGTTGATCAGAAAATTACTAAGTGTTGCTTGAACAAAAAACATTGAATGTGTGTCTATAAATGCAGTATGAGTGGAGTGTGTCTGATTTTGGGTTACGGTGTGTTGAGTAATTATCATACCAGTGTCTTTTTAGGGAGATGCTAATGTTAAAAGCGATTAAAAATAAATAAATAAAGATCACATGCGATGCTTAGGCTGTTGTGCCTTACATGGGTACATATGTGGAACTAGACGAACAGCACTCATCTGTTACTTGAGAATTCTTTTTTTTCCCTGTTAATCAGTTGTCTGCTTTTCAAACTACTTGATTTATCGCATGTTACTGAACTCGACCACTAATCATTCCTGATTATCTCCGACCAATAACTTATTACTTTCCACAGCTGGATTCCACTGTACCATTTCTGTTGATTTTGTACAGGTGAAGATATCATTCTATATTTTGATTTCAGCACTTTTCAGCTTTCAGAAGACATGTCCCGGCGACAATATGAAGTGTAAATATATAGATATTTTAAAAAGCGATCGCTCTGTCAGGGCCCCTGGCTTTTTTATGTTCTGTTGATAGTGGTGAAGAGGCCTTAGATGAGTCGTGTGCAATAATCCTTCTTGGTTGTTGAGGGTGGAAATTGATTGGCTCAAGCAGCTTTATCTCCACTAACCTACAGGAACGTCATAATCTTTCTGATTACCAAAACTACTTACTGTTGGTCTGTGCGCATTCTAAATTGTAAACTTTTGAAATGGCACCCTTTTCAGTTTTTTAAATGCACCTTGGACACAGTTTCAGCCAACAGTTAGCATGAACACGCTGAAGCGTTACATCTTATCGGATTAACTTTTT